TGTCTAAGGCTAATGCATTAGAGATAAAACCCAAGTAATTAGTAATAATTTAAAAATGCACCACATTAAGTGAATTTGAATCATATTTTGATTTTTGCATTTACTTTGTCTGAAAGGAATTGATTAGTGTTGGCAATGGATATTGAGGTTTTTCAGATGGGTTCCTTCTGAAGAGATAAGGCTGGCATAAATTTTAAAAGGAATTATTAATGGGATGCACCTGAATCCAAAGGGTTCCTGTCAAATCTGTACCTCATGATCGTTTTCTAGCCTTGATGAAATTTGTGAGGCAGTCCTGGAAGAGGCACTTTGTGAGAGAGCTTGATGAACTGGAGCTAACCTTGGACACTTGTGAATTGTCACGCAATAACTTCTGTATTGCTTTGCTTTCTGCCAAGAAAGAGCTCAGTAATTAACACGCTCTTTTCTGAATGCTGGCATAGGACTGTCCCTGAATCATGTCTCCTCAACTCGGTAAACCCAACAAATATCTGTATTTTTCTCTGAGGAGTATAATGGTAGGTCCAGGAATGTTTTATAGGTTGAAACCAGAAGAGCTTCTCAAAACCACAACAGGGACATCCTAAGTGTTGGAAAACTTTGTGGCTTTGTTTCAGCCTTCCTTAGACAGCTTTATTGTTCAGTGCTGATGGGCCCTGAAAAGATTGGATGTGACGTGCTGCAGAAATAATGTCTGCAAATCCCAACCCCATGAGATGGATCTTGGTGTCACCAGGTAATGGCACAGATGACATTCCCCAATACTTCTTCTAGCACAAGGTCTTGCTTTAGCTGTCGTGTTTCTCTGATGGATTTCCACAAAAATGTTTAGATTTCTGTGCCTACATGAATAAACTGAGCACCACGGACATATTAAACTCTTCAGTTCCAGGAAGCATCGTGCTTGCTGGAAGCAGACTGGAGACGTGCAACACCTCCATCTGCTTCCTGGGAGCAGCAGACCTCATGTGTCACACATGTGTGGGAAAACTGCAGCTTTCAGGAATATTTAGTGGGTTGAATGTTCTTCTGCTGGTCTGTAGCTGTAGAAATATCTGGGATTTGAAGATACTCGGCTGCCTGGTCAGAAACCCTGAGCAGTAGGTTTTGCTAGTTTTCCAAATGCTCTGAACAGGAGAATACACACAGAGTTCCCCTTCCCCATCCTGTGAGATGTGACTTTTAGGCAGGAGGTGCCATTTCTGAGGGGAGTCTGAATTGACAGGAACCTTCTTAGGTTGGATATTAGAAAAAGATTCTTCCCCCAGAGGGTGGTTGGGCACTGAACAGGCTCCGCAGGGCAGTGGGCACAGCACCAAGGCTGACAGAGCTCAAGGAGCATTTGGATGATCTTTGATGTGACCCTTGGGGATGGGTCTGTGCAGGGCTAAGGTTTGCACTCCATGATCCCTGTGGGTCCCTTCCAACTCAGCATACTCTGTGATTCTGTGATTCTTGTTGTTATCAGAAGCTGTTTTTCTAATGACATTGGAAAAAAATAGGGGAAGAGTCTAAGCCCCTGGAGGCAGTTTTGTAGTGCCAGTGGGAGAAAGATCTGGTCACTGTGATGTCTTTTATTTTGCTTCTCAGCAAAATGCTTATTCCTTACAGGCAAGCACAGATAACAGTATATGGTGTGTGCCCTAACACATTACACTGATTTATCTCATCCCACGACCCTCTGAGGTCCTTCTACACTGCAGGTGTACAGGACTGGATGCAGTCCCATTTGGACTTTAATTGCAGGCTGCTGCTCAAAAGCACGTTACTCGTTGCCACTCAGGATGGAAAATGTGCAGGACTGATTTGTATACGTTTTCCCTTGGGAGAAGTTGGAACCTTTGCAATGGTAGGGAGTGAGAAAATAAAAATACATTAAATAAAAGCCCCATCTTAGAAAAGTTACTGTGACAGCAGTATTTTCTCATGCCAGTAAAATGAGCTTGTTCTTTTAAAAACTTTCTATACATGCCATGAGTTTCTCAAGAAGTCACAGTTATAAAGACTGTCCACTGTTGTCTTGGTTTTATGTGACTGCAGCATTTTGTTTGAATTTCTTTTGCAGATGTTGAGCAATGACTGTGGATGTATTTGTGTTTGCCCTCCTAATCTGATTTGTGCAGTTGAAGTGAAAAAAGTTCTGTAATACTTCAGAAGCAATGATGTTATTTGTTTTGTGACATTGCCTCTTTTGGTCATTCAATCTTATTTTTGCAAATGGCCAAGAATATTAAAAAAACCACCCAACAGCCTCAAATCCAGACAAAAACTCCAACAAAACAAACAAGCAAATAAAAAAAAACCCAAATGCACACTGAATACGTACACTCCCACCATCCTTATTCAAACCCACAAGTTTTGCTCTAAAGATTTTCTTTTAATTCAGAAAGAAAAAGCTATTTTCCTTCTCCTGGAGTTTTGCTGTTGGCCATTTCACAGATTCACAGAATGGTTTTGTTGGAAGGGACCTTAAAAACCATCTTGTTCCAAGCCCCTGCCATGGGCAGGGACACCTTCCACTAGCCCAGGTTGCTCCAAGCCCCGTCCAAACTGGCCTTGGACACTTCCAGGGATGGGGCAGCCACAGCTTCTCTGGGCAACCTGTGCCAGGGCCTCACCACCCTCACAGGGAAGAATTTCTTCCTAATATCTAATCTAACCCTGCTTTCTTTCATCACTCTTGTCCTGTCACTCTATGCCATTGTCACACGTCACTCTCCTCCTCTCTTGTAGCCCCTTTGTTTGAAAGAAGTAAATCTGCCTTTCTTTAACTTATAACGCAGAAGTGGAGGAAAAAGTGAAGTTCTTTGCAAGAGTCAGCAGCAAACTTATCTAACATGTTGAAGTCACTGTTTATTTTGTTGTATATCATTTATCATTTTACAGCCAAGTACTAGAGATGCCAGCATGGCACTTCACAGATCTCCAGTAAATCTCCTGTCCCAGGAGATCTTCCACTGACAGGCAGACAATTAGTATTTGCAGAGTGCTGCTAACTTTGTTACAGTTGTTTACCAAATACAAAAGTTGTGTGCATTACAAGTGATAGATGTATCCTTCCTTTCATTACAATAACAAAAAGTTCAGCCTGCTTGGCAATAGTCAAGATTTTTCCACTTAATCTAACATGAATGGCAAAATCTATTCATTGAAGGAGGCTGGTGAAAGATTTGCAAAGGACTGTTTTACTGTCTAAAACAGAGCTGGGTTTGTTTAGTCTTTTTTTTTTTGGTCAAAATCACATGATATCTCATTTTTTTGCCTTTGGAGGCATTAATGTACACATACAGAAGTGCTTTTCCAAATCCTGCAAAACATTTGCCTCATCTTTGGTTTTCAGCATGTAAAAGGAAAAATAACACAAAAAACCTGATGTCAAGATATTTTTTTTTTTGTAAGTCTGGACATCAGTTTGAATCTTCTACGTAAGTGGGAGCACTGATACTCAGAAAATGAAATAGCAGATGGAAATCTAAAGTTACAAATTTTCTGCTGCCATCCATTGGCTTAGGCATTACCTGAAGGTCACTGTCTTGTACAAGGGAAGCTTGGTGAACTTGGGCTGATCTTAAAGCTGCCCCTTTTTTAGTCTTCACTAGAAGTCTGACTCTCTTCAGTGAGCTCAAAAAGGCTGTTTTGTCCCTTTGCACACCAGCACGGTGGAACCAACGTGTGTGTGTTGTGTCTGTGTGTTCATAGGTAGTTTGTTAATATTATTTGCTGATTTTAAAAGAAAAAAACACAAACAACCAAAGTCGTATTTGTTTGGGTGCAGTACAAGGGGAAGTTTTTTATAGATGTGTCTGTCCTTCCAGGTACTCCCTGATCTCCAGTTCTTTTTCTCTGATGCTTCTCCCATAACTTCCCAAATGGCCCCTATTCCTCCCTGGGGTCCCAAGAGCTCTCCTCACCCTGGTTTCACTCCCAGCAATCTGAGTGTAGCTTAGCTAAGAACCCGTGTTGAAGAATGACAGCTCTGGAGCCCTGCTGGTTGATCAGTTTATGTACATAAATACAGAATTTAATCATCCTGGACTGGCTTTATGGTACAAACCCACCCCTAAGCCACAGGTCTCCTCCCAGTCCCTGCCTACTGAAACCAGGAAGGTGTTAGGGGAAAAAATAAATTACTGCTGCTCCTTCTTACAAATATGAGAGGAGAGTTGGGTATTAATTTTTCCAGCCTTCTCCATAGCTGTATATGCATTTCCATGGATAATACCCAAGCAGTGTAAAAACTCCATAACTTTTACTCCACCCAGAATATAGGAACCAGCGTTGTATTTCTCTTCATACTCTTCTTTGGCTGGATCCAGACAAGGTGTAACTGAAGTGCAAATGTAAATTTTGCTTTTTTAGTTTAAAGGGGATTTTGCTGTAAATCAGATAACAGACCATTAAAAAGATCAGCCTACTGAGGATTGATTTGGATATTGTAGGAATGAGCTGGTGCTGTGATCAATTGGACTCTGCTGCGCAAAGACAGAATTGTCTCTCTGTCCTTATCTCTTCCTAATAAATACAAGAATGACTGCAGGCTCCAGTTATTCTTGTATTGAAAGAAATGGAAATTTTTCTCGTTGAAATTCACAGACATTTCATCCTAGAGGATTTATTACTTTTTTCCCATCCTCTCTGATAATAACAGCAGAACTAATAAATGTTCTGTAGCTGAAAAGATGATTTTTGAACACTGTATAAATCTGTTCTAGATAGACCATTTATCCCAAACTCTGCATATAAAAGGGAAGGAGAACAATAATGTCTCACCTCCTGGAATACAAGAATATTATCACATTGGGGTTTTGCTTCTAGGTGCTGTGATTTTTGAATTGGTTCTTGAATCTGGGTTTGCATGTCCCTATTTCAGCCAACTGTTGACATGTCTTTGTCCAGCGGAATTTCCATTGCCAGAAGCTTTACGAGTTTGATTATACTAAACAATGTGCAGTCATTTGAAGTTATGAAAAATAACTTAGTTACTCTCTGTCTTTTTCAAGGAGTAACTGGGTGACCTCTTACAGAGTCTTGGTGAGCAATGACAGCCACGCATGGACTGCTGTCAGAAACGAATCTGGAGACGTGGTGAGTATGAGGAAACAGATGTTTTATGATAAAGAGCAGAGGCTGGAAAGCAGGGGGCTGGCCATCTGGAGTTTTGATTTGCCAGATTAGTCAGTGCAGCACTTAAAGGCAACATCTCCCAGTGGTCCCCCTGATTTTAAGAGCAAATCACATAGTAAAGAAAGGGACCCAGAGTGCCCCTTCTGGCAAGGCTGTGTCTGCCTATGATAAGATGCTTTTCTTGTTGCTGGCCCATGTCGGGATTAGCATCAGTTTGCTGATCCCTGAGGACATCTCATGCCTATTTCCAGAGAGAGGCTGTAGAGCTCCAGCTCCAAGGGGCATGAGGGGATTGTGCTCTTTGAAGAGCAGTTCTGGCCTGGGCCACCATCAGCCTGGGGCTCGACTGGGTGATTTCGTTTATTTCTGTAACCAAAACTGCTAAAAGACCTTTTGAAGAACTGATCTTGCCATTTTCTTATGTTTGGCCTGCATAGATTTTTACCGGAAACAGTGAGAAGGAGATCCCAGTTCTCAATATGCTGCCGGTGCCACTGGTCGCACGTTACATCCGGATAAACCCCCGGTCCTGGTTTGAGGAAGGAAGTATCTGCATGAGACTGGAAATCTTGGGCTGTCCTTTGCCAGGTAAGAAATTTCTCAGTTGATGTTGACATGGCTTTGTGCCAAGAATCAGAAATTCCATTTCCTTTGAATATCTTTTCTTTTGATATAATGCTTTAGATAGAGTTATGCAAAAAGAAACCGAAATACCTGTCCAGAATCATAAGTAGTATCAGGATAACTTTTCACAGGTAAACCCATAGTAAGTGGCTTTATTAATAAAACAAGATTCCCTGGGAGATGCAACAAGATTTTCTTAGTTGTTTGAGCTTAAATACAGTGTAATTAATCTTACTGAGTGCACAGGTACTATGGTGGCAATAGGATTATGTATTGGGACAGACACTTGCAGATGCCTTAAGCTTCCAAAGCAAGAAAGAACAATTATAATTCTATAGCCTGATTTTTTTTTTTTATTTTGTTCTTTAAGCCATAGGACTTCTCTGAAATATTTTGAAGGCAAATAATCTGACTCAACTAGTGCTTATCTTATAGGGGGGAAGAGAGGGAAGTGGGGGTGTAAGGAATTCCTAGCAAATTTCAAGTGTTATTAAATCCAGCATGATCCATGGTAAGTCAAAAGTGAAAGTAAATGGTCCTATGCTATGAAAGGCCACTTAAAAAAAAACCAAACAAACATTCAATACTGCAAATTCTGGCAAGGCCACGATTCTGTTAAGCACATTGTAAATAGTCTTGTAGAGGATTTATGTCTTCATATGTATGTGTATGTATATAAATAGTTAAAAATCTATTTGCTCAAAGCTTTTCTAAGTCTCTCACTGCTCATTCCATGCCTCTCATCTGCTTTTATTTTTAATTTGATCTCAAATTCTGGTACCTTGGGGAGTTTTTTGCAGAGGGCTATAAATAGTATTTTCAAAATACTGGAGCCAGAAGGAGAACTGCCTTTCCAGAGCTTTCATTATATATGCCTCTGTTCTGAGTCTTGCTGCCTCCAATTCCACTGTTGATGTAGGGTCTCCACATGCCAAGCAGAGGTAACCTGATTTTTTTGTCCTTTAGATGTTTAAATACTCGAGGGGGAAAAAACCAACCAAAAAACCAACAGTTTGGGGCATGGAAGGGATAATTCTCTGGGAAGGGGTAATTCTCTGACAAAGAGAAGTATGGGGCAAGTACTGTCATAAAACTTTGTAGCTGTGTTCCCATAAAGGTGTGAAATTTAGGAGCACATAGACAACTGCTTATCTGTGGGTAAAAAATATATCCTGGATTTCATGGCAGTGACCAGGGGTGCCCTGTGCATGTGAATTTTTATGTTCTCACTAGGATTCTGATTTCTTTCTCTTTCTGCTGTGGGTTTAGAACACTCCAGCTCTGTGGGTTGCTCGTTCCCCATTGTACCTCTTACCCTGGATGGGCAATTCCACAGCCAGTATTCCCCTTCAGCTCTTGAAAGAACTCTCAAAGAACAGTGATCTATCCCAAATTCCTATGCAGGTTTGCAGAGGATCCACTCTGTATAAACCAGGTGTGAGGCTGAAGGAAAACTGAGGCTTTCTTCAGCACCGTGACTTTACAGAGAGGTCTCCAGGGATGACAGAGAGGGCACGGGGATGAAAGAGATGACACTCAAACCATTTGGGAGGGCAACTGGTAGGGAAATTCTCATGGTTCTTTTCTATTCCCTAAAAGTGTAACTAAAGAGGAAAGAGCAAAAATGTCAGTATTTGGGAAGGTGATTTTTAGTTAACACAGCAGTTACTTCCCCCAGATTTTTGTTGGCTATATACCCACTCAGGGCCGAACTCTGCTTTGCAGTGTTAACATTTGTCACCCTTCAGCTTCCTGGGGCTGTGTCAGTGGGTAAAGGTGAGAACACATCTGCTCTTCCACCACTGTTTTGCTGAGTGCTCTTACAGCTTGTCACAGGTCTTGCATTAGCATGGAAACAGCATCAGTGCATCTTCCTGTTAGTCATTTACTGAGTTAATTGCCCGCAGTGTCTGATTCAGTATATTCCTGAAAGAAAATACCAGAATCATTCATTGAGAAACATAATGGGAATGGGGTGTGTTCATTACAAAATGTAATTGGACTGAAAGAACTAATAGGTTTTGATAAGTGCTGACCCATCTTTTTAGCTCAGAAAGAACTGACATTTCATTCTTCTCGCTCATTTTGTTCATCGCACGCGAGGAGCTCAAAACAAAGCTGCTCCTCAGGTTGGAGCGGCCTTTCCACGCACGTTTTCTTCCTGTAGGACATGGCATTTTTTGCAGTTCACTCTAAGTGGATTCCTCACCCATTATTGGTGTCATCTTGCTTGTTCCAGGTTGGATAATCCAATGGTTTGGCCGTGGGAGCAGCGACTTTGACAGCGCTGCTCTAATACACTGCATCATTTGTGTGACAGAAATCAGGGCTTCTGTCCTGACACAGTTTTTTCCATAAAACTGAGCAAGTCTCCTAAATTAATCAAAATCAGGAGGTGGAGCTCTGTTAGTTCACTTAACTCCAGCCTTTCCAGAGCCCAAAGACCCATGAAAGAAGTTATGTGATGCTCTGTTTCCTTGAACACTGTGTGTGGTTTTGATTATTTTGCACCCTGAGTGTGAACATACAAGAAATCAACTTGTCAGGAGGAGCACTTTGGTCAATTTAGAGTCCCAAGGTACCACATCCTCCTGAGGCAATGACAATGCACAGGCACGTGGGGCATAGGTAAATAATCTCCAAAAAAAAGAAGGGTGGAAGGAAAGTAAGACATTTTTCCTGACTGTGAATTTCCTTCCATGTCTTCTAGACTTGTAATTTTAGGTTTTATGTCTTTATTAATCCTTGAATAAATTAAGTCATTTGCATTCAGTCTGTGCTCTGTATCAGCTTTTCATCATGCTGACTCACAGGGGAGGGTAATAAAGGAATAAGGAGAAAGTATAAAAGATAAAGAAGAAACCTGAATAGATATTAATATTCTGGGAAAGCTTTTTAGCACTCTCAGAATGAGATGGAAATGGTTAAAGACAGCTAGGATCCATTCCTGTGGGTAAGACTCTGGCCATAAAACCTGCTGCATGTGCTGGGTGCACCAAAAATTGGACAAATGAGAAAACTACTTGGATTATTGGAACAGAGAAGTTACTTGTTATCTAATCTGTATTTTATAAGATAATTGTAATTTTTATCATTAAAATGCTTATATCTTATCCATAACATACATTTTTGGTATGTTGTAGGCTAGTTTTGACAAACAACGTTTTCTAGACTGTTACAGTAGCTCTATAAAAAGAAGCTGTGTTATCCAATTGTGTCAGTAATATTTTTTGGGCAACAGAAATGATTTGCTGTTTCACCAAGGGAAAGACATTTATCTGTGGAGGAAAGATGCCAGAAAATCCCACCTATAGCAGATGATCAGTGCTGCCATTTCTCACTGGGCTAAAAGAGGACAAAAACGCAAGCATTTAATTCCCTCTCCACTTTCCAAAAATGTTGGTATTTACACAGATGCAGATTGACACACACAATCTTTTGCAATTGCCTCAGAGGGATGGATGTACTTTCCTTGCCTTTTCTTTCTCAAACCTAAGGAGAGTCAAAAAGGAATTGCTCATGATCAAAAGCACCCAGAGATCGGAGAGAGAAAATTAGCTGAGCTCTTCATGCATTTATTTATATTGTACGGTATTCAAGGCAATAGGCAATTATTTTAATGGTATAAATTTGTGATGAAATTTAATTTTTAATAGTTCTTACGCAGAAAACTATCATTGGTTCCATGATTATGCCATCACTTTCAACCCATACTAAAAAATGAACTTTAACAACTCTATAATGGAGTACTGTGTTTTGCAGTGGATTAAGTCCTATTTTCATTGCTTCTCTCTTAATGCCAGGCTACCTAGTCAAGTTTAGGACTGTGTTCATTTTGTATAAAAATGTGAATTTCTACAAGTATCTTTCATTACAAGTGGTCATGTAAACAGCAGTACTTAGACTTACTTCTGAGAGTAAATCCCTCCTTAGGGTGACAGTCTGTCTTTGGGTTCTACTTTTATCATTTCAAAGCTAAAACTTAATCTTGGAAATGCTAAAATTTTTTGTGAGTTTGAGCAAAGACTGAATAAAATGAGACCAAATTAGGTAATTCTCCTGGGAAAGGCAAATGTATTACGTTTCTCCATGCTCATCAATACAGCTATGTAACATCCCTCAGCAATACAGTGGGTGTCATTAAAAGGTTTTATTTCATATTTTATTTCTAAAATTAAGTGTGTATTATCCTGAAGAAGTGTTAAGAATCCTCAGAATTGTCATTATTGTCAGAATCAGGCTGTAGAAAATCATTAGATTGATAAAATGGTGGTAGAAAACCTTTAAGAAGCAACTATTGCAGATTAAGAGTTTGAGTTTCCTCTCACCCATTATCGTCACTCATTATGCTTAACTGGAATTAGTTGTTTTATATTTGACTATACAGCCACATGTATATAAAAGAATCCATTTATAGCTGAAAAATATTATTTCATTGCTGATTTTTTTCCTTGTTGATTTAATGTGTGATCTTAATGCTCTTGAGCAATGCTCATGAGACTGCCATGAAACAGATCATGTGGAAAAAAAACTTGGAATCACCTGATGTGGCTGCCAGCGGATTTATTTCAAGATTACACATGTGCTGTCTGTGAGATGTTCAATTTTGTGAAGACAAGTCAAATTCACTTATATTACACAGAAATTAAAAAAAATCAGTCATTTGCAAAGTAGCTCATTGAGGTTTTTAAGGCGATCCAAAGGATTTAGACCGGAATATTCTTTTTATTAAAAATGCCTCTGAATCACTTGGATTGACTTCTTTATCTCATACGTTGGAAGCACCATATGAACACAACTTCTGAGTATGCAGAACTCCTTTAATTTGATACCATAAAGCTCACAGAAGGAATTCTGTGAGAATGAAGCATTGGGAACGCACATAAATTTTAATCAATAGATGAGACTCTTTTGATAGTATTGCTTTGTGAGTGTCGATTCCAAGACATCAGAAAGCTCACTTCAGACCTTTCTAGCAGCAGTTAACACTGAAAACTAAAGTAGGAAAGAAAAAAAAAGACCAGCAGACATTGTTGTGGTGAGCAAAATAACTGGGAACCCTCAGGAATCATCAGGGCTCCAGTGGTTGAGGTGCAGTGTTGAGCTGTGACAGAACAGAACAGAAAATCTCTTCTCTATGTCAAACTGCTGAGCAATTGGTCCTTTCTGGTACTTTTTATGGGCAATTCTCAGGGCTTTCAACTGAAAGAGAGTAGGTTTAGATTGGCTATTAGGAAGAAATTTTTCCCTGTGAGGGTGGTGAGGCCGTGGCACAGGTTGCCCAGAGAAGCTGTGGCTGCCCCTGGATCCCTGGAAGTGTCCAAGGCCAGGTTGGACAGGGCTTGGAGCAACCTGGGCTAGTGGAAGGTGACAGGGGGAGAGATTGGAACTGGATGAATTTTAAGGACCCTTCCAACCCAGGCCATTCTGTGATTCTATGAATCTATACGATTTGAGTTTCCTAGTCTTTTATTCTCTGTTTTGTTAAAGAAAATAATTTTTGCCGAAGTGTGCCCATCCAGCTGTGCACAAACTTCATGTGCCTTTCTAAATTTTAGCTTTCTGAATTTAGCTGCAGCAGAAATCCAGTGATCCAGACTACAGCAGAGCCTGGCAAAATATGAGTGTTAATTCTCTAGGGAACTGTCAAATTGCGCTCTGTTGTTGAGGAAGGGCCAGAGATACAATCATTCTCACTTTACAAATATTTTGAGTTTCCACCAAATCTACAGCATTCACAGTCATTCCCATTATATTAGTGTTTGATGTATGGAAAAAGTGCCAGACTTTGAAAGGAATGGGATTAAAGTATTAGGAAAAAAATCAGTTGCTGTATATTTTGGCTCGTGGTGATATAGAAAACCTTCAACATCCTGGCATTTTTATGATGTTTATTTTTACATTTTTACAACAGAGGGATATTTTTTCAGTTATGAAGAGATTTTGTGGGCCATCAAACACATTGTGTGAGAAGAAGTAGTTTTTTCATGATTTCTATTTTTCGGTCATCAACATATTAATGAATAATTTCTACAGATTAATATGGGATGACCTTTAAGGGTTTGGCTTTCCAGAGGCATATGCAGAGTTAGGATTGCATTGCTGCTGTCATGGACTTGCATCACTTTAGCCTGAAGTTAGACTGGAAAAAACCCAGGTCAGTTGTGTGAATCTTAACGCTCTGATTCTTCGAAACTGTTTGTTTGGTTTTTTTTTAAATAAGCAAAGAAATCTTGTTCTCTCACCTGAATACAAGGGCATGCAGTGATAGGACAAGGGGAAATGGCTTTTAGATGAAGGAGGGCAGGTTTAGATTAGATATTAGGAAGAAATTCATCCCTGTGAGGCCCTGGCACAGGTTGCCCAGAGAAGCTGTGGCTGCCCCATCCCTGGAAGTGTCCAAGGCCAGGTTGGACGGGGCTTGGAGCAACCTGGGATAGGGGAAGGTGTCCCTGCTCATGACAGGGACGTTGGAATGAGATGATCTTCAATGTCCCTTCCAACTCAAACCATTCTGTGATACTATAATTAAGGTCAAATTCAAGCCCATTTCCAGGTGGTCATTTTACAGAACTAAGTTCTCACTGGAGAGGACAAACTGGATGGAACAACTACACTTTGTTGGGGCAATAGGGTTTTTTGGATATTTTTCAGTCACATTTGTAGAACAACCTTCAACTGACCTTCCAGCATTTCTGCTGTAGATTAGGAAATGGAAGTGGAGACAAACTTGGGAATAAAGACTCAATAAGTGATTGAGAAGATGGGTAATGTTACTGTGAAGCTTAATGGAACCTGCATGCTTCATTCCATATATTCCTTAAATAGTTCAAAGGATCCAAATACTTTTAGAATTTTATGGGAATATTGAATGGTTTTAATGTCAGAAATATGAAGTTTAAAAATTTTAAATTCTAAAGTATTTTGAAGTATTTTCTGTAATTTTCTGTAAGTGTTTGTTTAACTACATATTCTTCCTACTAAGAATTATGCTTTCCCCTCCCCCAAAAAAATCACAGCTGTGGGGGATACTGTTTACAAAAAATGATTTTTATTCTCTGGAGACGATTTCTTTGGTTGTGTCGCAATAAGAGAGGATGATATTTAGACTTTCATATTTCACTTTTTTCCCAACAATTTTAAACCAATGAAGATGATTTTGTGTGCAGGGAAACAATTTTTCATAAAAGCCTGGCAGCCACTGGCTTGACAAACGATTACTCAAAATTCCAGACATCCCAGATATGGCAAATTAAGGAATGTGTTTGATGTTTTCCAAATAGACTTGTTTGTCTCTGGAAATAAATCATAATAGATTAGATTAGGAGCACATCTATCAGGAAATTTAAAGCTGAGCCCTAACAGTCTTGGACTGTTTGTGGTTTTTTTCCTAGGTGAATGACCAGGAATGTCAAGGAGACAAAAGACTTTGTTCTATCTAAATATTCTCCTTTGATATTTCAAAATACACAAACTATAAATAATATCCATAAAGAAATGAATATGTTAATTTTTAAGTAACAAAGTCCTCTGACTTTCACAAAAACAGTTTTGGAGGATAATCAGGAATATTTAATATGCACAGTGGATCCTTTCTGTATTTTGCAAGCAGCACAAAGACTCTGAAAATACTCATCAAGAAAATTAATAGATAACTCTTTTCAATAGTAAATTAATCAAGTGGACACAAAACATTTACTGTGGCTTTTTCCTCTAATTTGATTTTTCTTCCACTCTTTTAGCTTGCATCTGACTCATCATTTTCCAGTGTCTTTTCCCCTCCTCTGCAGCCCCAGGCTGCCCTTCTGCTTTTCTGTTCAAGTTTAGTATTTTGTGCAGAGTAGCTGCCTGGAAATCTGATGCCTCCTGGCTTCTATTTGGATCTATTGACTTATGATTTGATTTGATGAGTTGATTCGTGCAGTAATTAGAAATATTTTAAATTAGTTGTCTGAGTTTTGCTTTTGAAAACCCTCCCTAAGTACATATGGGACAGTAGAATTCAGATTTCCTCTTTCCTACATGCGTTATGGCATAAAAAAAATTCTGTGTTTGAAATTCACGTGAAAATTCTTTTATTTCTTTTCTCAGACCCAAATAATTATTACCACAGAAGAAACGAAATGACGACCACAGATAATCTGGACTTTAAGCATCACAACTACAAGGAAATGAGGCAGGTAGGCAAAGAGGTTGGAGGATGGAGGGTGGAGGGTGCAGGCTTTTCAGGTCTTCTGGAATCTGGATTCCACCTCTTAAAAATATTATTAAACAGTGTCTGCAATATCTTTTTAAAATATTTTTTCCTGTTTTAATTTATTAAAATCCCAAAGTCTTAATTTGTACATAAACTAACCTTAAACAGGTGACTACATGACAGAGGGAGTATCTACTCATAATGTGACATTATTTTTCTTCCATTTTTATTTGAGTGGGGAATGACACAGTTTGTCCTTTCAAATTTGACCCTGATTAAGCCATCAATTTTCTCATGTATTTCAGTGGTTTTGGATAATCAGAATAAACTGCAGAGTCCAATTCCATATTCACAGCTGTGAAAATCAGCAAAAACTCACCAAAAGCACTAGAAAAAAATCCTGTTAGTATAATTTTAAATTTACCAGCCTTGTTATTTTATTTCCTTCAGCTTCAAACAGCCAACCCTGGTCTTGTTTTTGTTGTTGTTTTTAATCTTGCTTCATATCACCACAGACACAAGTGTGGGTTGTCCTGAAGAAATATTTCTGCCCTCTTTGTCTTCAAATATAAAGATAATATGTTTGGACTTGATGTGTGTGAATCACTTGCTGTGTGCTGAATTTTCAGCGTATTTATACTGCATGAATCACCACTCGTTTTTATTGAGCAATTGTGTACTGAGTCACACATTTATTTTGGTAGGGATTTCATGGCCCATATTTCTGAGCACAGAGATTAGACAAGTAGAAACTCAATTGGCATAATTACTGTCAAGAACAATAAAATAAAGCGTGTTTTAGGTTTTCATTGCAGAAAGACAGATTGGTCAGATTAGAAACATCGTGGGGGAAAAAACCTACAGCTTTAAAACATAATGTTTTTAGTCTTTTCATACAAGTAGAAAATTTGTGATTGTGGTTGAGAGCTGGTCAGTTGTGAACTGTCTTTATGCTCTTACAATTTCAGTTTTCCTCTTAATTTATTTAGAGCTCATTAGATTCTAGTTGGGTTCTGCTGCTGGTTGGCAGAAGATTGTGGGTTACATTACAACAGGTCCAAAACTATTCTTAGAACTTCAGGGCAAAAAAGAACAATAACTGTCAGAGTCAACTTAAAAAAAACCCCAAACATCCCCCCAAATCCCCCTGTAACCTATAAATTAATGCCACTTTTCATAGCTACTTCACCACCAACCATCTTAGAAAAATTCTGGTCTTTGAAGTTATTCATTATAAATACTGAAGGAGGAGGAGAGGGTGTTCCCTGGGCCATGTTTTAGAAACATTGCATTTGTCACATAATGCAATATGTGAAGTATTTGTGAGAGGGGGGGATTTTCTCAGTGTCAGATTATTTTAATAGAACTCTCTGGTTAGGAAAGTGAAATTTATAGTTCCAATTTTTTATTCTCGTAAAAAAACATTCAATATTCTTCTTCCAGTCAATGGGAACTTTTGTGCAGAAGTCAGTCCAAAATATTTATATGAGGTATTCATGCAGCATAGGAAGCTGTTAAAATGGTTTGAGATGGACACGTGAGTACAACCCTGTCTTTGAAACAACAAACCCACACCACATCTTTCTTGGGAAAGAGGAATGTTAATTATGAAATCCACATAACTGGATTTGACTCATCTTTGTACAAGCCAGGCTCCAAGTGCCCCAGAATCCTCAGGCTGCTGTTCATGGTCAGCTGTTTATGGGCTTGCTGTGATGATAATGGGGAATACTGAAGAGCACTGTACATCTTGCCCATTGAACAGGGTGATCTGAGGGTGAAACAACCAAATGTACAAAGTCAGAGCATGCCAGCTCAACATCCTGGGTTGCATGGAATGCCAGGATGATGGTCTGTATCTGCTGCTCTCCAAGCTCAAGGAAGAGGTAGTTTCCAGAGGGCCTGGTACTGTTAGTTTAACAGTTGAACTCCACGATCTTAAGGGTCTTTCCCAACCTCAGCAACTCTGTGATCTCCATAGAGGATAAAGAGGAGTCCTAACCTGAAAAACATTGACTGAGAGTCCTTTTGCCTCCTATAAGTGTAGATGGAACTTAGACCTACATTTAGTACACCTTTTCTGCAAAATGGAGGATTCAGACCCTCAGAAACCAGTTTTGTGGGGCTTCTTCAAAGACTGCCTGAAGTATTTTTCAGGTCACTAATAAGGTAAATAATTGGAAGTGACAAACACGAACTGTCAATAACAGCTGTTAGTAAATGTAATTGGGGAAGTGTTTTACAGTCCTGCTGGTTGTTAATAAAGCCTGAACTGACTGTTATTATCAATTGTCTTTGGCAGTTTGTACAAGCACAAGCACAGTGACATTTCAGGTGACCTGTTGTGCCATTCGTAGGAAATGGTTATGAGAAGATCAGATATGAAATATGTTCATTTTCAGTATTATATTTACAGAAACAGTTAACTACATTACTAATTCCCCACTGTTACCAAAACAGTCACAGTGAAGTCTGACACAGAGGCTCTAATTCAGGAAAAGTTCTTTGACTCAGAAAATAATCATATGCTTGCAATTAAAGAAATGATGGGGGGTTTACTGAGGCCAATACAAATATTTCCACTGCATGTAATGTACTTTGAAGTTGGTTCTAGGCATTTTTGTCACTATTAATGAGCATTTACGTACTTTTAACCACTTTGCTAAATTGATGTTCTTGGTATCCTGCAAGCACTGGAATGCCAGGCACATTAGCAAAGCTTCTTCTCTGTGGAAGTTCCAGAGGCAGAAGTTTCCCTGCTTGGGTTCAGAGACAGCTCTGAGAGGACAGGGTTATCTTTCCTCTTTCACAGCTTTGGAGCTGCATGGATGCAGTGATGCATCAGCAAGGACAGAGTTTCCAACTGGAAGAAGGTGTGAGGAGAGAAATTAGTTAACACAAGTCTGAGACAGTGACAATATTTACACAGTACAGTTTTAGCCTTTACCTAAAATAGAACTCCTTTTAATGTAATATCTCTACTCACTGGCAGAGTGAAAAACTAATACTTCTACTGGAGAGAAACATGGAATCTGATCCTATCACAATCCACCTCATTCTCTTGTCAGTGGGACATGAGCAATCCCCACACAGAAGACCTCAATAAGTTTTGGTCTGTGAGGCTCTAACAAGAGCCTCATATCTCTGTGTTGTCCCCCTGTGCTGGGCATTGGTGAGGCCACACCTCGAGTCCTGGGCTCAGTTTTGGGCCCCTCATGACAAGGAAGACATTGAGGGGCTGGAGCATGTCCAGGAAAGAGAACGGAGCTGGGGAAGGGTCTGGAGCAGCAGGAGCGGCTGAGGGAGCTGGGGAGGCTCAGCCTGGAGAAAAGGAGGCTCAGAGGGAACTTATCTTTCCCTACAACTCCATGAAAGGAGTTTGGAACCAGATGGGGGTTGGTCTCTTCTCCCACCTAACAAGGGAGAGGACAAGAGGAAGAAGCTTTAGGTTGTACCAGAGGAGATTTAGATCGGATATCAGGGAAAATTTCTTCCCAGAAAGGGTGGTCAAGCCGTGGCACAGCTGTCCAGGGCAATGGAGGAGTCACCATCCCTGGAGAGATGTAAAAGCTGTGTAGATGTGGCACTTGGGGACATGAGTCAGTGGTGACCTTGGCAATGCTGGTGGAATGGTTGGACTTGAAGATGTTAGAGGTCTTTTTTAACCTTAATGATTCTATGATTCTATATCCGTTGATAAAATGTTTGGTTCATTATGAGCAGGTTAACCAGGAAGATTTAAGGCAGTAGGTCTGAAAGAGTTAGGAATTGACTCATTTAAATAAAATACTACCAAATGTAAACCAGTGTTCTCTGGCTTCACCTGCGTGTTTGAGCTGGAACAATAAACTACACACACTTACCTATGCCCAGAACATTAAAAAGAGTTCTGTGGGAATATCTGAGTACCCATAATACCAGCACGCTGATGACAGTGACAGTGGTGAAAATAAGCAGATATGAAACAAGAAATACACTGAAAGAGCACAACTGACTGTATTTTTCAGACAAGTGATGAGTTTAGACTTGCCACAAGAATTGTTTCTCCTATGTATAAAACCAATCTGTGAGATGAACAAATGTACAGAAATAGCATCTTTTCAGTCTCTTTGCAAAATGTTTATAAATAGAAGTGAAGCTTTATATGAGAGGAATTTTAATGATGTTCTTCCCAATGTGAGTTGTGTTAGCACTTAGATTTGCTAAATGGTGGCATGGGAATTAGACATATCTAGTTATTACGTTTTTTAAATCATCAGACTTATGATCATCCAGTATTGTTTCTAAATTAACAATGTGTGAGCAGGCAGTTTTGTAATGCCACAATATTTCCTCAGTAATGTATGCATGCTTGTTTATGAAATGATTGTCTAATTAACAGTCCCCAGGGTTCCAATTTACAGTAAAGTACTGTTTTCTTTCTTTAATTCCTCCCAAAGAAAAAAAGATCAAGGCAGATATATTCTTGTTGTTTAAAGCTATTTGCAACAACTTAATATTAGTAAAGAAATTTTCAGTCTTGTTTGTGCACTAACATTCACCTGAAATACCACAGTAAAGTGTTTGTGGGACAATTTAGGTTCAAGATATGCTGATCTGGATGACATCTGTGGAACTCCATTGGTTTAAACAGAAATATATGCTTAACTCTAAGCATTTTATTATTATATTATTATAATTATTAGATTATATTTTGACTATGTCATGCAATATCTGCAGAAAGAGTGAATTGAATAGATTTTGATGGGCAGAATGTTTTCACTGACAACATTGCTGTTATTATTTCTTTTTTTTTTTCCTATTTTTTGCTGAAATGTGATAAGCACATTCTGAGGAATCTTTTATTTACTGAAGGAGTACATCTTCTGTTTGGGGACTCATCCATATTATATCTATTTTGCAATTTTGGCCACGTCATCACTACTTTAATTAACAATTTTTCCATATGAGATTTCACACTGTAATGCAAGAAGGGTGGGTTTGGTTTTTCCCTCAGCAGAGACAGATATAATCAGAACTCACTGGGAAAATCCTGTTTAAATGGATTATATCCTTCTCTCTTCACTTGTTTCTGATTAAATTACTGCTGCACAGGGTAAAGGAATGGAAAATCTTCCTTATGGATAAAGTGTGTCTGTGGTGACCTGTAAGGTGCTGTCACCAACACCCTGGGTCATCTCAAGTCCCTAACCTGTAGTACATCGTAATGTGATTATTTTAATTAATCTCCATTATTTTAATTCCTCTCCATTGCATAATGTTTTAAAAATGTGATAGCAGAGCTATAAATTCATGAACTAAACAAAGCTTTTACACCTAAGAAATAATCAGAGAAGAAAATGAAGAGTTTTGCCACATCCAATTTGGAAAGAAGTAATTCATAGTGGGTCTGTTTTGATGCTGCATTGTCTAACTACGTGTCTTTTTGTTGGTTTTTTTTTGGCAGTTGATGAAAACTGTGAATAAAATGTGTCCAAATATCACAAGAATTTACAATATTGGAAAAAGCAACCAAGGACTGAAGCTTTATGCTGTCGAGATTTCTGACAACCCAGGAGAGCACGAAGTTGGTTAGGATTTAATCTAAATCTGTTGAAGGGTGCTGGGATTGTTTTTTTTTTTCCCCCTCCTCTTTTCCTGTATCTGCTGTAATTATCACTGATGGAATTATATTCATGGCAGCAAAGATTTCAAATGTATGTGGGAGGAACTTCAGCACTGTATTTCTAAATTGGGAAGGGGACGGTGAGCACAAATAGAAGACATTTTGAACATGGGATCAAATTCCTTAATGATAATTCTTTACAGTAATAAAATAAAAGTGAATTTTAGTACTGGGGAATGGATTTTAGTTGTGGGGATTTACGGAATTATGGAAGAAATTTACCTTTTTTACATGGGGTGAATGCACATTATTCCTAATCATCCCTGAAGTAATTTGTTGTCGAGTACAAGGATTGTTGCACTCATTATAACCTTGAAATACATATGTGAACCTGTTTTAGAGAAGGAAAAGAGTCTGTGAAGTCAGAAATCAATTATGTACAGTTACTGACTTATCTTTTAAGAGCCTTAACATCTGTCTGAGAGAACTACTAGCAATGTATTTTTCAGGTTATTTTTAGACTATCAGAACTGTTAAAGTCTACCTCTAACATGCCAAAATTGTGAGTGTAATTAGAAATATGTTTAACCAAGAATGGATTTGGGAGGTTTTACACAGTGGCTTTAGATATCACTGGCACACAAACCTGTTCTTCTGCAATAGCAACAGAAAGTAATTTGTTTCTGTAAAGTTTGTGCATCAGTTGTGCAGTTAAGGCATTTCTCCAGCTTTCCTTGGCTGATTGACATCAATGACATTTAATAGATATTTGATTTGCTGCTCTGACCACGGTTCTGCTCCATGCGTTTTCAACAGGGGAACCAGAGTTTCACTACATTGCAGGAGCTCATGGGAATGAAGTGCTTGGACGTGAGCTAATCCTCTTGCTAATGCAGTTTATGTGCCAGGAATACCTGGCTGGGAACCCACGGATTGTCCATCTCATTGAGGACACAAGGATCCACCTCCTGCCCTCAGTCAACCCAGATGGATATGACAAGGCATATAAAGCGGTAATGTGATTATCAACACCTCCAGGAATTCTTTTATTTGTAGTAGATGAATAAAACATGCCCCTCTTGTCACTAATTTTTTTCTAAGTTCACGTTTTACAATTTAAAAATTAAACAATAAACACGTCAAGACAAAATAAACCACTGGAACATCTTACTGAGGAAAAAAAAATGAAAGGCACAGTATTTTATATGACATTGGCTAACAGGAAAATATATATGGAAAGAAGGGTTACAAACACTGCCAGAACAAACCATACTGAGGTGTATATATCAATGGGAACACCACTATGGAAAGTGGAAAATCCAGGCAGTCTGTTTCTCGTGAGAAACCAAAGTAAGCATGTGAATATTTGCATTCTTCCACAGCTGAAATTTAATAGTGCACCTTTAAGGGGAGCACGTTGTGTAGGGCATCATAATAATTCTGTCTGGAAGAAGACAGACACCAGGAGGAAAAATTGTAAGGGTTGGTCAAATGCACTGGAAAATCTTCCAGGGAAGTTAGTAGAAGACTGGAACAGAAAAGTCACAGTCATAGTCATGGAAGGGAAAGTGTGTTATCTCCTTTGCGGGATATATTTTGGCTAACCTTGAGGAATTTTTCATGGGTTTTGCTTCATCTCATTCAAGGTTTCATACAAAACTAAAAAAAGAAAAAAGCCAATCATTTATTTCAGTTAATTAAATGGTAAGTCCTTCATTTCTCTGTACAGAATTACCTCTGGCACATTCCCAAACACTTTACTGAGGGCTCACAGGTTGTTATATTCTGAATGAACATTTATAATTTTTTTTCTTCCCTTTTTTTTTTCTTTTATTTTTCAATCTAAGGGTTCAGAATTAGGGGGCTGGTCTTTAGGACGATGGACTCAGGACGGCATTGACATCAACAATAATTTCCCTGACTTAAACTCTTTGCTCTGGGAGTCAGAAGATCAGAAGAAAAGTAAAAGAAAAGTTCCAAACCATCACATCCCCATCCCTGACTGGTACCTGTCTGAAAACGCCACTGTGAGTAAGGCCAGAGAGAGGGGAACACCAAGGCTGGGATGTGCTGAGAGGGAGAGATTTGCATTTCTCAAGGAATGAGTAATTTGAGGCTGAAGTTCCCCAGCTGATCTAATCTTCCTGTCTAGATTTCCCTGTTAGTCAGTGGAAATAAAAATGCACCACAAAAGGACCATTCACCCCCAAGTTTTAGAGGCAGGTCTTGAGGAAGGATCTGCTTCCTGGAGGATTCACTTTTCCCTTGGCTGTTGAGAGAACCTGGAGGACTCAATACCCAATTTCCAGGCAGCAACAGGTAGACAGGGAAAAGTCCACCATGGAGCTCAGCCATGTGAATCAGGCTTCTCCTTAGTGATGTGGTGTAGATGAGGTCTTTGCAAACTCAGTGTCCTTACAGATTTCTCCTGGGGTTTTCTTATTTGTTCTTGTTTGAAACATATTCTTACCTTAAATAACACAGCAACAGCTCAGGCATATGCAAAACCAATGCAGTGGCTTATGCTAAAGTCCTTTATTGGATTTTAGTGCCAAAAATTTAACTTACTTTTGCCTGACCTTTTAAATATAATGACAACCATTAATAGTGGATGAGGGGAAGGTAGTTAATTGTGGCAGCTCTTTAGTGCTTCAGAATCACAGAATAATAAGGGTTGGAAAGGACCTCTGGAGATCCTCTACTCCAACCCCCCTGCCAAGGCAGGGTCACCCAGAGCAGGTGACACAGGAACACATCCAGGTGGGTTTGGAATGTTTACAGAGAGGGAGACTCCATGCCCTCTCTGGGCAGGCTATTCCAGTGCTCTGCCAACCTCCATCAAAAGAAGTTCTTCCTCCTGTCAAGGTGGAACTTTTTGTGTTTTAGTTTATTGACATAATATTTAAAATCCCTGGGTTTGGAAACTCATTTCAGCCAATGGCAGGGGCAGCAGTGTCACCATGTGACATCTCTATCACTTCCTGCTCTTGGCCTCACTCCACATAGATGTTCCTCAGAAATTAATAGCATGAAGGTTCTATTAGTTTTTCTGGGTTGTCTGTGATCTCCCAAGCATGGCTGACAATTTAAAGGAGCCCTTCTCCTTGGCCACATCTCTCCTTGCTGGCTACTCAAGCTCAGGAACTCACAGCAGGGCTCCTGCACCTTGAAACCAGACTCTCAGATTCCCACAGGCTGAACCACAGCTGCTCTTCCTTTTCCTCCCAGGTGGCGGTGGAGACACGGGCAATAATAGCGTGGATGGAAAAAATTCCTTTCGTGCTGGGGGGCAATTTGCAGGGAGGGGAGCTGGTGGTGGCCTATCCCTACGACATGGTGAGGTCCATGTGGAAAACCCAGGATTACACCCCCACCCCAGACGACCACGTGTTCCGCTGGCTGGCCTATTCCTACGCCTCCACCCACCGCCTGATGACGGACGCGAGAAGGAGAGCGTGTCACACGGAGGATTTCCAGAAGGAGGATGGCACTGTTAATGGAGCCTCCTGGCACACCGTGGCTGGAAGTAAGTGTTGGTAGAAGCTCCGACTTGGATATGATAATGCCACCACTGCCTGGTGTACATTGCAGAGGCAGTGGTGGTCAAATATGTGTTCTAAGAGGAATAAATCCCCATCTGACGGTCTGCTCACTGCCTTTCATCACTTAGCAGAGCACTGAAGGAGGCACTGTCAGTAACACCTGGTGACTATTTAATTTACAACTGAGTTTTCCCAAAGTGCACATCCAGTACATTAGTTTTAAGAATTCTGGGCATTCAAGATGCTTTGTCAGGAGGAAACCAACCCAGGCCAAACCCACTGGCAGGGGGGACCCTGTCAGCCTTTGCCATCTCACAAGGTGACAACAGAAAACTGCTACTGAACATTAGAACATGTGTCAGAGCTGAAGCAGTAACTCCAGGGAGAGATTCCTGTGGCCTGCAGATAAGGCAATCCTGATTTCAGCCTCCTGCTCACTGAACTCGGTCACAGATCAGCCCCCCATCACATTCACTTTGAGCTGTAATAATATGCCAAAAAAAGCTGCTGTTTGCTTGCTACCATCCTATTTTTAAAAGACCTGGAAATCTTTGCACTTAAACTTTTCACGGGCTCCATAGACATTTCTGCTGCCAGGATGAAATCCAGGCTGCATCAATCACCACACACCCAAGCCTGTCACCCTGTTAAGGAGCACGAGACGGAAGCTGCATCCCGTGGTGCAGCCAAAACATGGATTTCCAGGAAAGCCCAATTAGAAGCACATTTTTAACAGCATTAGGCACAGTTATCTCTATGGGTGTACATTTGGAGCAGACTCAGAATCAGCCACTCTGCTGATTCACCACAGTTCTGCACAAAATCTTGGTGTTTCTATAAGTAAATCAGTCAAACAACATATTCTCTGAAATTAAGAAATGAACCTGGCTTCTGCCATCACTTGATGACAACAGGAGCAACGGCAGCAGTGATGGCAAACAGATGCAGGAAAGTGTCTGTGCAGCCCACGTTTTACTGGAACTGGCTCGTGTTTGGAACTTGCAGGTACTTCCGCTGCATAAACATTTCTACATTTTGGACACAGCTTCTGTGGCTTTTACATTGGCCCATGTGAAGTTAGTCCTGGCCAGCCTTTAAAGGCTACAGTCAAGAATTAACTTCTCAAATATTTTTTCAGGAAGTTAAAAAGCGTTGGGTGAAATCGGGGGGGGGGGATTGTTGAATTTTTAGATCACAAGGCCAATGCTTGACAATACATTGCTGTGCATTTCTGCAAATTCTAAAGCATACTCTGAAAACTCACTTGACCACTTAATTATCTAATTTATGAGCCTAATTTTCCTAAGTGCTATAAGAAACATCATTATGAATTGATCCAGAAAGATGACATTGGCCATGTCACTAACAGCTGTCATACTAAGCTACATTAAGTAATGATGGACAATATAGATGCTGAATATTATCCTGATTTCTTAGGACCAATTACATATTGGATTTGCTTCATCTGATTTATTTCTTGATAATGTTTTCATTATAATTTATACCCTACTCTGTCCCATTATAGTAAGACTTCCAGGATACTCTTTGAGACAAACTCTAGAATATTGTTTTCACTTGCAGTTTTTACATTGGATTCCACAGTAAACCTCAAAAGATGTGGTTCCCATTTGAGCTCAATCTTCAACCTACAGAGTAGTTTTAGACTTCTTGTGTCTACTTGGACAAGTGCAAGGAAGTGATTTGTAGTGCAGATATATATATATATGCATATATAGATATGTATTTTGCAGCTGTCAGTTAACCAACCACCTTGCATTGCAAAGGGTTGTCCAAATATGATTCCAGATTTCTCCTATATTTTTTCACTCTGTAATTCCATGACTATGTAGATATAGCTGTATAGCTCACTCCACATTTCTTTTTATTTCTTTACCTTTTAAATCAACACTAATACTTTCTTGTCCTAACCCCTGCTCGTTTCAAACCTTCCCTGAAGGTGACACTCCAATAAATTGCTTGCAGAACCTCTCCCACTTGCCCTTCGGTGTGGGTGGCATCTTGTTGTACCACACCTTGAAGCTATCCATTCCTTTTCTCCTCATCCATCTTCTTCCTGGCCTTGCAGTGACCATGCACAGAAACTTTTCACTGCTCATCCCATGGGAGAATTTACAAGGAATTTTTCTAATTTCTTTCCAGTACCAGAGAATCCCTAGAGAAGTATGTGCAGCACAGATATCCAACACCTTTAAAACCCAGCCATGTTATTTCCTGCACATTTTTTGGACTGCAATGAATGCAGGTTCTTCAGCAATTTTACATATAAAGTTTCTGCACTGGCTGAACTGCACGAGGACAAAGAATAGATTGATTTAGTTTTATTTCCAGTGTTTTCAAGGCTGGATTTGCATGTTCAGACACTATGAAAGAGTTGCTATTGGCAAAGTTAAGCCATTTTCTTAAATACAAGTATTAAAACTGAGCAATTACCTTGTATTGCTAAACATTTCACAGCAGATTAGTCAGGATGGGATACAGTATGTGAGGGGAAAATAATTGTGGCTGTTTCTCAAATAGAGAGGAAGCACATTTATCCAGAGTAGCATATGCCACTGGCTGATATTTAGGTTTTCCCCATCAACAGAAGTGAAAAGCTGGACATCTGTATTATATAATCCTCCTGCTCTGCTTCCAGAAGGCACAGAGGGCTCATTAAATACTTGACTACTGCTCTGTGGTAATTGGACAGGAGCAAGGGTTTTGTTTTAACCCTTTTCATTCAGAAGCACCTTTGGTGACTGCAACTCCAGCCAATCTATTTTGCTGTTTTGGCCACACTGTGGCATTTCAAAAAATCTTTTGCCCTGCCAGGCCTGCACACTGAGCCAGCCAGATAAATACCCAGTTTGTGTTTGAAGTTACATGAACAAGTTGCATAAAAAGATCAGATCTGATTAACAGATTAAAAAGGATATGAAATTGTTTCCTTTTTGCCCCCTGTTGACAGGCATAAATGACTTCAGTTACCTGCACACAAACTGCTTTGAGCTCTCCATCTATGTTGGCTGTGACAAATACCCCCACGAGAGTGAGTTGCCTGAAGAATGGGAAAACAACCGCGAGTCCCTGATTGTTTTCATGGAACAGGTATTCCACAGAAGTGCAAATCCTAAATAACTTGGTGACTACTCCTTTCAGTTTGAGAGAGAGTTTAAGGTTTCTGATTTTTTTTTTCTTGCATGACTAATTACATGGTTATTGGTATATATGGTAGAAATCTTCCCTACAAATAATACTGACATGTCACTTCAGCCATGAAGCTTCTCAAAACTTGATTCTAGCTTGCTAGAAAATTTGCCAAAAACCTTGGGTCTGTTGTTTTATCTGTTCTTTTTATCTATATCTTGAATTTGATGCCTCAGGAATCCTAACAGAATTCATAATCTGATTCACAAGTTAATGCCTGGAGGGCTGATATGGATTTAATAGTGATATTTCACAATTTTGTGAGCCATAAAATAGGAACATAATACACATAATTCACACATGGAATTAATAATTCATTGTAACTTCTTATTAATACAACTGTTCATTGCTGTGCAATATTTACTTGCTTTTTTATTCTCTCCATAGGTCCATCGTGGCATCAAAGGCATAGTGAAAGATGTGCATGGAAAGGGAATCCCAAATGCTGTTATCTCAGTAGAAGGTGTCAACCATGACATTCGCACAGGTGAAAGAAAAAAGCAAAACCATGAGCGCAAAAGGGCAGATTTGTGGTTTAAAAACAAAATACAGAATTTTATGGAAGGTTTGAACTCTTTTAGGAGAAAGGCCAGCAGGTAGGATATAGTCCAAGGAGAGTGGTGCAGAAGGATTGGCACATGAGGAGGGAGTCATTTCTTTCTATGTTGCAGCTGTGTAGACAAGAACAGAACTATGGTTTTCCTCTCCATTCCCCTTTTTCTTTCCACCTCCAACAAAGTATTGAGCAAATAGGCTTTTGTGTGCCCCAAATCAACAGCCTGATTAAGACTGTGTCTAAAGAACTCTTACTGTCACTTTTCTCATGTAAATGTAGTGCAAATCTAACCCAGAATAAATGTAGCACCGAAAAACAAGGGTGCAGGTAATGCCATGTTGGGTAAAGAATGCTCCTCTGGCTGTTAACAGTTATAGGACTGTGAATCAGAGAAACACAGGATCATTTAGGTTGGAAAAGACCTCTAAGGTCATTGGGTCCAATCATTAACCCAGCACTGCCATGTTACCAGTAAACCGTGTCCCTAATACCACATCCACATATTTTTTTGAACGCTAACTTTATGTGGTTTTATGTCTTTGTTGGTGTTCTGGGTCCTTTATTTGATGCCACTTTCATGAGCTTTGCCACTGAGGCACAGTATGGCACACGGACACATAAACTGATTTCAGGCTATGGAATATCACAGGGCTTTTGACTTCCAAATCCTTAATGTTTGCTACAGTAGATGATCTGAGCCAATAATGAATCTTGGAATAGCTAACTTAGTTTATGATTAATTTCAGTGGTACTATGTCTCCATTGTAAGAGAAAACCTTGAATGACAGATATTTAATTAGACAATAATGATTCTGCCTTAAACATTTCAAAACGGGACCACTGGGAAATGGTAGTGGGAATTAAAGTAATCAGCTGTTTTTTCTTGTCTTGGAAGCCTTGGCAGTCTTGAAAGTCTGCCATGAAGTGTGAGTTGTACTACTCTGTTAACAGAATTGATGTATTGCTCTGGTTGAGGCTGAGTTAATGCAGTGTGTGATTAACCTCCAGCCCTCTGTACACTGGATTGCCATGTGAAACAGAAGTCAACAGATTAAAGACAGTAAAAGTGCTACAGGAAGGAGACTCATTGAGTCCAATAAATGGGCAAGATTCCAAAATGCACCTTGTAACACTCAGGGAATGATGCAGCTATTTGTGTCTCATCTTATTGCTGAGCTTCTATGGCTCAAGGCCATCTGAACTTGTTTAAAATAAAAGTGTTTATTTATTTCTCTTTAATTTTTCTTTTTGATGAGACATTTAAGCTCACACTCTGTTTGGGAACCACTTTTTAAATGGGAACATAAAAGTTGTCTCCTGTTTTATATTATACAGATAACAATACACGTCTCATTAGTCCCTGAAATCAGAGGATTTATGTTAGAGCCAAAAAGCTAAAATGACACATATAACTCCAGATAAAGAAGGCAAGCTGTCAGCAGTCTTCTTTCATTTATACCTTTTAAAATGAAAAATGTTTCTATTTAAACCTCTGAGTTGCCTTGATATAAAAATAGGCCAAGCAGGAGAAGAATTATGGCCACTATCTCTATTCAGATAAGTTTTGTTTCAAGTGAGCTCAGCTCTCAGGTGTCCACTGTTTCATGGATACATTAATGTGATTCACTACTCCGTAGAGCCAGACAAAATTTATCTGTAAAAGCCCTCTAATAACATTTACATGTTTGAGAAAATTTCTTTGCTTCTTCCTGTGGACAAAAAAAAAAAAAGTGCATGAAAAGCACATTGTTTTTAATTTCTCTTCGACATACAATTTATCTTATGGAAAGAGAGGGATGCTGACATTCAGCTAACACTATTAATAGGCTAATTGAAGACATTGATCCCGAGACTAAGAGCTTTGTGGGAAATTATTCCATTTTCTCCTGATGCAGATGTAACTATCGATTAAATCTGAGTGATTACATGTTGTCACAGTTAGAGATGGACTATGGTCTATAAGATAACCTTTGGAAAGAGTTCATCAACTGGATGAGCAAATGCACCTGTTTTCTCCATGGTGCAAAGGCGCTTTTGGGGTTGCTTCCTGTAATTGCACATTTTGGGGATGTCAAAGTCTATATGGATGAAGAAACATTCAGTTTGTTCCTGGTGAAACATTTCTGAATCACAGCCAGAGTTCAAAGACCGATACATGTTTCTGTGTGATTTGTGCCAAAGCATAACTAATTTCATTTCACACAACATTTAGAGAAATTTTTAATCAATATTTTGATAAGATTCCTATGATTTCAGTGCATATTATGTAACAAAACCCAAGGGTTTTGAAGTAGCATTTAGTAATATTTAATAAAATTAGTCCAAGCTAAGCATAATTCTGATATTATAACTATCCAGGCTCATTCCTGGCTGCCTGGGCACTAGAGAAAATTTGAGTTTAAGTTGTTACATGCATTTGGTGTGCAGCAGTATGGCCAGCTTTCCTGGACAGTCTTCCATAGGTAAGAGAGTATTAGATAGATTTTTATAGTCTATTTGAAAAGGGTGAAATTTTAGTGTAAAAATCACTTTTTCACTTTTACAATTACGTAATTGTAAGTAAGGTCTATCCTATAAGGCTCCAAGTATTTCTCTTAATTGAAATATTTATGGAGCAATCTGACACATTTAACTTGTAGTAGTACTATGTTTGCCTTAATGCATTATTATTTTATCTAAGCAGACATGGCAATCCTTTTCCAGATCCAGGAGGTGGAAATGGTCTGCCTCCAGCCTGCTCCCTCTGGAACCTATTATTTCAGCAAACCTATTATTTACTAAATTTATCTGGATTTTTAATTGTGTTTCTTTTGCCATCTGTTCTGAAATTTTTTACCTCTACTGGATTTAATGTGATTTTCAGAAAACCCCCAACCTTTTAGCCTGGTATTAAATTCTGGGCACTGACAGCTGACAGAAATACTTGTGTCTGCTGGCTTGTAAATGGAAAGGAGGCAAAGTGCATCCTGCTAATGGCTTAATATCCAGCTTTGTAATAAATTCCCGGTGATGTGTGTGTGTGTAGGTTTATTTCTGGCCTTGTGTGGGGTTGTGATGAACTGACTGTTAAATGTGTCAGAGGAATGTGGGTCAGCTTTGCACTCCCGGGGCTAGAGCAGGGCTTTGAGCAGGGATGTGTTCACAGCCACTCACAGGGTGATCCGTAGCCTTTTCCCTGCCCTGTAGGAATGCCAGAGCATTTGCAGCTAAAAACGAACCCTTGGGGATAAATACAAGGAACTTGGGCAGATTTGTGTCTTGTCCTTTTGTTAAGTCTCCAATGGACCCAACGGTAAGGGAGAACTGAATAAAGAGCTTCTCTTAGAGCCCTTCCTAAAAATATCTGAATCCCGAGAAACAGAAAATTTGGACCATGATCATCACCCCAAATGTGGTCAAACTGGATAAAAGAAAAATCTAAGCAAGTTGGGATGTAAGAATTAACCTGAATGAGTGCAATTCTGGTACACTCAGAGGCTGCAGTTTCAGGGTATAGTCAATGTTGATGTTTTGTTAACACTTGCTGTTTGCAAACGTGTGGTTTTTTTATTTTACCAAACCCTAAATTAAAATCCTATTTCTTTAAAAAGAGCCTGGCTAGTCTGATTTTTCCCTAAATATAATATTTTTATGCAAATCATCTTTACTTTCTGCTACACCCTGCATTGCCATCAACCCAAGGCCAGCACTAGTAAGGCTGTCAGTTCTCATCAGTGCTAAAAACCTCCAACCCCTCCTAGTGCAAGAGATGTTCCATTTCTATTTATATACAGAATTACATGTTTGAATATGTACTTTCATTCACAGTGGGTTTTCCCAGAATAGAGTGCAAAACTGATTTTTGATATTAGTTTTTGACCTATTTCAGTTCACAACTAAGAATACCTGCTGGTTAAAATCATATTTAAAAGAAACCTAAAGTCATCTTTATGTACAGATGGATACATAAAATGAGTACATCTGAGATCATCTGTGAGGGAAAAAGAAGAAACCAGTAAGTCCTGATTCAATGAGGTGTTAAAATATATCTTTGTGCATGAGTAGTTTAGTTGATTACAGGAGTTCTGTTTGTGCATTTACAGGTAAGAAAGTGGTTAAGTACCCTGATGAATTATACTTTGTAGGAAAATCAGTGTAATAAAACTCAGTGTAAGGTTTTATAGACGGAGATATTTACTTACATCTCCAAGTGAGTTGATATTATGTATTCACATGCTTTGCATACAAAATAGCACCAAAACCTGTGTCCATGCAGCCTGGTCAGGGTCATGGGTGCAGTGTGGTTACTCCACTGGGGCTCCTCTGGATCCATCAGTTACAATTAATTTGGGGAAGGTTTTTTGTACCCCTTGCCTCAGGACCTTCCACCTGCCAAAAATTTTAAGCCAGATTGAAGCCCACTGTCCTTTTTTCATCACTTGGAAAATGTGACTGAGGTGTGTTTTCCTCTAGGGTTGGCAGGACAAGGAGGGGGTGTGTGTGATGGGGAGCAGCCTCTTTGACACCCTCCTGGTGTGAGGATGGGCGGTTCCTGGTTGTGGTGTCATCTTACCCCTGTGCATGGACTTCTGTATCCTCATTCAATGGCCCTAGGTTGCTCCAGGGGCAGTTTAGGTTAGATATTAGGAAAGATTTCTTCATGGAAAGGGTTTTCAAGCACTAGAACAGGCTGCCCAAGAAAGTGGTGGAATCACCATCCCTGGAAGTGTTCAAAAGACATGGGATTGTGGCACTCGAGGACATGATTTAGCGTTGAACATGGTGGTGGTGCTGGTTTGATGGTTGAAGGTGATGATCTCAGAGGTCTTTTCCAACTGAGAGAATGGCCTGAAATTGTGTCAGGGCAGGTTTAGCTTGGATATTAGGGAAAGCTTCTTCCCCCAGGGGGTGGCTGGGCTCTGAACAGGCTCCCCAGGGCAGTGGGCACAGCACCAAGGCTGACAGAGCTCAAGGAATGTTGTGACAACACTCTCAGGCACATGGTGTGACTCTTGGGGATGGGCCTGTGCAGGGCCAGGAGTTGGACTCAATGATCCCTGTGGGTCCCTTCCAACCCAGGAGATTCCGTGATTCTGTGAGAAAACACGTGGATGTGGCACTTGAGGATGTGGTTCAGTGGTGAACACAGTGCTGGGTGGATGGTAGGGCTTGATGATCTCAGAGGTTTTTTCCAACCTTAATGAGTCTATAAACAACACCTTCCTCAAGGAGGAAAGACCAGTGTCCTAAAAAAACCGTCTTCTTCCCCTCCCAGGAGCCGACGGCGATTACTGGCGCCTCCTCAACCCTGGCGAGTACGTGGTGGGCGTGAGGGCCGAGGGCTACACCGCCGCCACCAAGACCTGCGAGGTGGGCTACGACATGGGGGCCACCCAGTGCGACTTCACCATCTCCAAAACCAACCTGGCGAGGATCAAGGAGATCATGAGGAAGTTTGGGAAGCAGCCCATCAGCCTGTCCATGCGCCGGCACCGGCAGCGGGCGCGGCAGTGGCAGCAGCACCGATAGGCGCCGGCCCGGCGTCTCCCGGTGCCCGCGAGCTCTGCTTCTGCCAGCCTGGCTGTAGTCGTAGTGAGAGTTTCATAGCCCATCTCTTCGTGCATATTTCCCTGCAAGAGGCCTTTCTGTTAGTGGAGCGGGATGGACGGTGGGGGTTCTCGTTTTTGGCAGAAAAATCGGAAGCAAAAATTTCAAGCTCAACCAAAAACGGCCCCCGGGTTGAAGGGAGAGGCAGGAGAACATAGGAAGGTGTTTTGAGTTAACCTGGAGTGAAATGTTTGGCTTGTTGGGTTGTTTGATCCTTTGCAAATCTGTTTTCTTTAAAAAGAGGAGAAAGAAGGATTAAAAAAAAAAAAAAAGATACTTGTAAAGGAGAAGTGTTGTTCTGAATGCAAAATTGAAAAATGTTGTATCTAAAGTATAAAATTGGTGTATTTTTGGAATTCTAAAGAAGTTTGACATTCCTTATGTTTTATTCTCGTATGGAAGGAAAGCTGAGAGGGGACAATTTACATTTAATGTGGTTAAAACATGTCATAATTTCATCCCCTTTTCCCTGAAAGTCTCTCTTCTGACAAACACCAAAACATTCAGAAAAAAAACCTGCAGTGAATAACCCACCTTTGCTTTCCTGCTTGGGTTGTTTATATTTAAGGATGTAATGTGAGTCCAGAGTTTAATGCCAGGAGTGTTTTCTTCTCTGGCTTTTTAAGCCTGCACTTTTACTCTGTGAACTAAACCTAATAAAAAGATCCTGGGATAAGGACCACTTTGGTGTTGTGGCATTGCAGCCCTTCTCTAACGTGGGACAAGGACTAGAATAAAGCTTTTCCTGAGGAACAGCCAGTTGTGTCATGTGTATGAGAGGAGAGTCTTAGCCACTGATAGGTGCTTAGTTCATAAATTAATTGATTTTTGGCCTGATTTTAAGTGCCTTTTGTGCTCACGCACATCTCATGCCACTGTCTTCTGTGACATGCAAGGGATTTTGGGTCCCACTGCATGATCTGCTCATCCTGCTTCTGCAGCTGCTGCCTCTATGGGAGCAGGATTTGTGCTTTTTTTACTGGCTTTTAAGTAACAAAATTCTACAGCAGGATAGGATTGAGGAAAGATGCAGATCTAGAAAGAATGAACTAAATACACACTGGACAAAGAGTCAGTGGATGAAAATGTAACTTTGCTCTGGTAGCTCCAATGCTATGATCTTAATTATACCAAAAAAAAGGGCCAGCTACATGATTTTAGCCAGCCAAAAGTCTGTGGCTAAACAAACATCTTGTAATATGCTTGGTAGAAAGACTGCAGCATACACTTCCAAATACAATTCTGTTTTAAACATTTTAATTGCTATTACAGTTTTTGCCTGTTTGATATGATTCTTGGAACAGACATTCCCCAAAGTATCGTTCAAAGCTGAGGAAAAAATAAAGTGCCAGTAGAAAACTTACTGTAAAAGTATCACGTGCCATCTGTATTAAATCCTTTGTTTTTCTTGTCAAGGAATGTTGGAAACACATACAAGGCAAAAAGATTTAGAGAATGAATAACATAATCATGAACTCTTGCATAGTAAGTAGCCATATTTTTAAATTTCTTAGATAATTCCAGCTCATGCTTTTTGTGTAATTACCATTAAATAACAGCAATGTGTTTGCCAGCAAGGGCTTAAAGAAAACAGAAGAGTGCAAACGTAATTCTCTATGACTTAAATTGTGGAACAGCTCCAAGTCAGCATCATTTAGATTAACTCATAGAGGTAAACAAATAATCCAGTCATTTGGAATTATATTTTACTTATTTCACCCTATTTACCAGCCTTACAACGTTCTATATGCCATATATTTTTGCATAGCAAATATAACAGCAATTTTTCAAAAAGGGTATTCTTTTCTGACAGGTGAGAAGGGATTAATGATGTCTTTGTGCAGGTAGCAATGTGACATAATTTTTGAATATGGAGTAATGAGAGCAGACAATTTGTTAGCAGTTAAATTTGGCTTGTTTATTGGCATGTGTAGATTTTGTTGCCACCACAATAGATCAGGATCATACACTATATTTTGTGCTATGAACTGATGGAGTTTCTCCGGTGGATTCTCTCTGCAGTCCCACAAAGGCTGTCCAGTTGCCTTGCTGGGGGTGATTAACATGCACAGACAAACGAGGAACAAACCAGCCAAATTTAAATCCCTCTGATGATCAGGTTGGAGGTGGAAACCACCCTCTGAGTCCTGACAGGTCAGTTTTTTCCACCTGGAGATAATGGTGTTAGAGCTTAACTTCACAAACCTGGAGGTTCCCATGCTTTGTTCTCAGAAATGAGCTTATCGCAGCGAGAAGTTATTTTTCATTTGGTAGCAAGAAGTGGATTTCATGGGGTATTCTTGGACATCTCTTAGGTGCAATTAGAGGGATTCTGATTGCTGAAGACCTCATGAACATCAGATGCTGAAGATGGTGGCTTTGGTGCTCTTTACTGGCCATCACTAGTACTGACACATATTTGGGCACAGCAAAATATGACTAATGCAGGTGACCCTACTCCATTTTAGTCCAGGCATTACTACATAAATGGCCTAATAGCTGTCAAGTGTACTTGTCTGTGCAATTATTTTTTGGTTGTCCAGCACCTTTACACTGGAAAACACTAAAGCTCAAAGGAATTTTTCCAAGAATTTCAGACGTGTGAATATCTCATGCTAAGATGTTTATGCCTGCCTTGGATATAATAATATTACCAAACTGATGTGTGTCCTATTTCTATATAGTTGTGCACTTGGGAGCTAAAATGTTCCTTTCCTTTGAAATACATAGCACTGTTATTTAGCCTTTAGACAGATCCAAACCAGAAACCAATAAATCTGGATACCAGTGCTTTCTCTTTATTTACCTTTTCCACCTCTTTAGAACAGGTGCTTTTTTTCTGAATTCTGTGCTTTTAATCTCTTTTCCTTTCAGTGTTGTAGGAAAACAGGAAACCCTGCAGAAATGCAAGGAAATGAAACTTGAGGATGAATACCAGCCCTTTTATAATTACAGATCCATTTTAACAGCCACTTACGTGAGAACTTTGCTAAGCTTTTATCATCCCTGCTATAACAGACAAAAATACAACCCCTTCCAAGTAATAAGAAATTCAGCTGCACAACCTCACCCACACAATAAAGGTTAAACAAATGAAAGGTTAAAACATGGAGATATTCCACTCTCCTTGATAATATCAGCCATCACTCATCTGCTCCCATGCAGAGCCCTGACAATCATAAAACACAGTGGGAGCTGACTGGCTTCTCCTTAGCTATCCATGTCATGTTATCCAGCTATTCATTTTTTATTTCTCTAATTATCATAATTTTTATCATCTTCCATCTCAGTTTCTTCTCATTCATCCTTGTAATAAGTGCAGTAACCTCTCAAAGACAGCTCTCAGCATCTGCAAGTCACAGAATGGTTTGGATTGGAAGGAACCTTGAAGGTCATCTCGTTCCAAACCTCTGCCATGGGCAGGGACACCTTCCACCATTCCAGGTTGCTCCAAGCCCCATCCAACCTGGCCTTGGACACTTCCAGGAGTGGGTGAATCAGTTTGGGAACCTACTGAAACTATATCTGCTTACACATGTTGGTATAAATGTAGTGTATCTTGGTAATCTCTAATCCAATTTTAATCTGCTGGCACCAGAAGGCTGTAAGGAGTATTTTAGTCTGGCTTTTACCAGGAGGTTGAGCTCTGTGTGGGTAAAACTGATAAAAATGAATGTGAATGAAGTCGTTGTCTATGCTGGTTGAAAAATACTTTTTTTTCGTTGGATATTTTAAGCCTGTCACATATTTTCAGTTTCTGTCACCAACTATTTTCCCCTCCTTTATCCACGTATAGCTGTGGGTTTTTTTCTCTACCTTCAGCTCATTATTTTCCCTGAATTTGGCACATCTCCCCAAAGTGTGGATTTCAGCAGGCAGTGACTGAGTGATCCAGTCAGATTTACTTGTCTCTTTTATCATCCTGTGGTAGGTGGTTGACCTTTTTGAGAAACACAAAAACAGAGATGAGTTAAGTTGAAACAGAGTACAAGTTTCACACCAATGACTCTCACTGGTTTAACCTTTAAAAACTGGCAAGTGATATGCTGTGGGTCCTGAAATGCCCAAGTTTGGAGGTTCTTTACCTCTTATCTTTGTAACCAGTCTCTGTGAGTTTAGGAAGCAGCCATAAGCCTGAGGGAGGAAGCATAAAAGCACAAAGAATTCATGTAAATCGTGGTACCACCACCTCCTGCTGCAGGACTCTGCTATTCCAGCCTGGAAACACTGCAGGACCAACAGTTCTGTGCACACCTACCAACTCTCCAGCTGGAGCCCAGGGAAGCTCCACTTCACACTCACTAAGAGGATACAACTTTTCAAAGCCTTTTTCTTCTCTTAGTGGAGCAGTTGCACACCTAGAGAGAGGGCCAGAAAATCTCCTCTGTATATTTGAAATAATATTTATTTACCAGTTCACAGTATGAACAAAAAGGTTTTTTTTCCTTTGAATTCCATTTCAAATCTGAACTGCATATTCTGAAATACTCGTGCTGTTTAGAGAAAACAGATAGTAACAATTCCCACCTATTATTAAATGGACTAACATCAACCACCTGATATTCTAATTATCTAGTCATTAACTCTCCTTTAATTTGCAGCAGCTGCTTTCTAGAATTCAATATATCACTTATGTCAACAGCACAATCATTCTTATTAACTCTGTGCTATCCCAGTGGCAGTAAAAAAGAGCATTCAGAGCAAACTCTCATTTAAAGATTAAAAAAAAAAATTCATCCAGTCTTAATGTCAGCAAGTAAAATTTTAAAAATGGAGTTACTTTTTGTGGTTTGGATGTGACAGAAATTCAATACCTGGGTTAATAAGGATCAATGGCAGCATGATCTCACTTCAGTAGACCAGAGGGATGTAAATTTGCAAATCTGTTTCTTACCACAAGGATGTGGATCTGATTACATGGCCTCAATGTGAAAGGTGTTGAAACCACATTTCTGTTTGTTATTTTCTTGTGCACCCTCTAACTCACAGTGTTAAAATCACATTCCTATTTATTAGGAGGCCTTTAACTCACAGGTGAAGGGGATCATTAATTTGGCTTGGCCCCAGCTCTGACTGAGCTCAGTGATCAGCTCCTCCTCACTCCAAGGGTGTTCTCACGAGCAGGAGTAGCTTTACAAATATAATTTTGAAGGAGTGGGAAGTGAATGGAAAAATTGATTCTCTTTTTATGATCTGCTCTGTATCTGCCTTATTTGTTTATATTTGTCCATGGAAGGGTGTCTGGAGCCACTGGATGAACATAATGGTTTCCTGGAATGTTCCAACCCCCAGTGGTTTTGCTGAAGGACCACAATTATTGATCAGCAGCTCCACGAGAAACAACACATAAACTGTTCAATCTACCTATTCAGTTTAATTCTAAATGAGTTTGCTGCTGTTTGTTGCTATATTGTCATTTTTAAATGCTAAACCATATTCTTTCAGTGTTAAAACTTTGAGAGTTATTTTTCAGAGACATGTATCTGGTTTTACTAAAATTTCACAGCAGCGTTTCCTTGCACACTTTATATTATTTTTACCTAAAAAAGGCCATAAAGGACCAGTCCAATGACTCTGAGTCACTGTAAATTTGAGTGCTGATGGTAGTGATGTCAATAACCATGTCACCCTCAGAATTATGTGCAGAAAATAATACATTTGGAGATAATTCAGCATTGTAAAATCAGTTTCTCACTAATGAAAGCATTCACACAAATTAATTGATGAATTTCCATCTTGGCTTCAGAAGCAATGTATCATTCTTAAAGCAGTATGGGTCTCCAGAGAATACTTTCCAGATTATCAGAGTCTTTAGGTGTATTATTAGGACCTTGACTGCTGGATGATTGATAAAATATAAATATAAATCAAAAGACCTTCCCTAGAAATCCCTGTCATCTGCAGGGAGCTTGTTAGGTTTTTGGGTCTGGTGTTTGGGAAAAGTGTGAGATTGGGGCGGGAGAAGGAGAACCATTTTTACAGAGGAAGAACTGAAGGATGGAAAAGAGGATTCAAGTTGAAATCTTCTACTTCCCTCTTTGTCCTGAATAACCTTCTTTGAACTTGCCTTTTCCTGAATTTTCAAATAGTCCATGTTTCTGTAGAAGTCACTGAGGTGACCAACAAAGAACACACTAAGTGGTGGCATTTCAAAATTCCCAGAGAGTTCGGAAGCAGATGCTGCATATTCTATTTCTGTTGATAACTAGTTTTTCATATAACAGAAAATGACTGAAATTTGGGATCTGGCAGAAAGCAGACTGGCTATTTTTTCACACCGAGGGGCCTGAAAGAGAGCTGGTAAAAGCTCAGGAAACGAAATGGTCAGAGAAACATCCCTTCAACGAGTTTGTGATTTCACAGCAATTTTGTGGAGGAAATGGTGTTACATCCTTTTCATAGCAGGAGGATGGACAGTCAGTGGAGAACAGCTGAAACAAGTCAAGCCAAGGCTCTGTTCCTCTTCTGTTGTCCAGAGTATTTGTCCCATAGCAGGCACAGGCACAGCTCTGAATCATCAGTCCCACAACTGAGAATCCTGATGGAGGTGTTGAGTTTCTAAAAAGATATTATGGGAGTATCATGAACTGTTGAGGATGTTGAAATCATCTGTTTCCAATTTGAAATAAAATAAGGGTCTGTTATTAGAAGGAATAAAAAAAACCCAAAACAAAACAGCTCTGAAGGGGAAAGAAAAACCAAATAAGGATATTAAAAGTGATGGAGTAGAAGTGAGTCTCTGCGACCCACAACACCACTGATGTGTGTTTCTAAGCCTTGTGTGGGCATGTTATGTGCACTTCATATGTTTATTTTCAGTAGACAGAAGCAATTGGGAGGACAGGCAGCCCTCAGGGGGCATCCACCCTGCAGAGCTGCCAATTGTTTCACATTAGGAAATCTAAATTGTACAAATGTAGCCTTATTATAGTAACAATCCAAGCAGAATGTAGGAGTCTCTACTATTCCTCAGCTTCCCTGATTATATATCATCTAGCTTCAGTGAGCCTAAGAACTCATGATGTAAAACAGTGGTTAAAACATTAACAAAAAAAAAAAAAAAAAAGGAAAAAAGGAGGGGAAAAAGAAAAAAAAATATTTAGGAATTTGGCCATGGTTTTATATGTCAGGTTGTAAAGAGACTTTAAAGAGGAAACAAGAACACATTCTTATTTATTGAAACCATCCAAAGCCTACTGATATCAAGATAAAATTGCCCAGCCCCTTTTTGAGATACTTCCTTATCAGTATCTCAAAGATCAGGGTCATGGTTTGCCAAGAGTTAATCTTTGTCTGTTTCCTACTGGGAAAGTACGATGGTTTTCTACATCAAAGTTCATGACCCATCCACACTTGAATGTTTATAAAAGGTCCAGCACATTTTGGGTGCTGCTGTAAACAAAATACTAAAAAAAAATATCATTTGAGCTCTGGGAAGATGTTGCCAACATTTGTATTTCTACAGCTTTCCCTGGAAGAATCTCTGGTTTTGGTAGTTTTTTAAAG